ATGTGCAGGTGGGCAGCTAGAAATATTTCTGTTCCACAGATGTTCATCCCAATCATAATGGATTTTGTCTTCCTGGAATGTTTATGTGCCTTGTTGCTTCCCTCAGGGGTGGCGGTGATATTTCTCCTATGATTTCCACATAATCCCACGTGAATGCTGTCCCTGCTCCAGAGCTTTCTGGGTATCACTGTGCTCAAAGTCGTGAGAAACAGAAAAATGGGTGATTCGTCCATGCTGTTTTCAGTATAGTCAGCAGCAGCAGCAACCACTTACGGGGAATATTCCAAGAGCTAAACGGTGGGGCTGCGAAAAGGCACCGGTCACAGCCCCCTCTCTGGGAGGAAGCATACGCCGTAGGGAGAGCCCTGCAGTGCAAGGCAAAGAGGCAAAACTTAGGGCATGGGTAGTGTGGGGGACTCCCTCCATTGCTCCTTTTGAACTGTGGTGCCCGGGTCTTGCCCTCTCTGCCAGTTTTCTAGGGGCACCGTTTCCCCACTCGCACTCCCTCTCTACCTGGGGAGGAGGAGGAACACCACCAACTGGACATCCTGAGCTGCCAGGAGGCCAGCAGTTTGCTGACCACGGCCACGGAATGGTCAGGCTACCTGGCCATCATCCTGTGGGTGTGGCCTCCCTACCAAGGAGATGACATCAATTTGGGCCCAAGGCAACAGCCATGTCTCCATGTAAACACTATCCTTTCATTACCTGGGCCAAAGGTGATGCTCAGATATGCCCATATTTGGTGCTTCTGCCTGACCTGCCCGTTGTTGGCCTGTAGCATTCTACAGCACCTATCATGCATGAATGCTCCACTCCCCACGTCAGGAGAGATGCTACTTCAGGCCTGGTGAGGCCCTTGGGTCACATTCACCTCCACACCCAGCTCCAGTACCTGGCAACTGAGCCCCAATCGTCAACAGCTGGAGATGACAACTGTTCCAAATGCTCGAAGGGAAGGGCAGAAGAGGAAGGAAAATATGTCCTTTAAGTCCTTCGCCTTATACTGCCTCTCTGTGGAATGGAGGTCACTGACCTACCAACCAACAACTTGAAAGAAGCAGGCACACCTCACTCATAGTTGCCACAGCCCTCAGAGTGCCCAGTACAGAGCCTGGCACACTGCGGGTGTCCATGACGTGGCATGGGTAAATAGATCACACACAGATCCACCATGCCTCTCTCAGTTTTGGGTTCTCCTCGCCCCTTCCCACATGGTGGCCACTGTCTGTGACTCCAGCTGAAACTCAGGACAGGGCCAAAGTGTCACCTGCTCCCCAAAGTCTACCACTTCCTCAGCCCCTAGCGCCACTGGACACCTTGGTAGGAGGAGGTCAGGCAGCCCTGAGGGTGCCAGGCCTGAGGGTGTGCCACACAGCTCGAGGGCTAGCGTGCCCGGATGGCCTTGAGTACTGCGGAGTGTCCTCGAGCATGAGCCAGCTGTGACTCAGAAGGAAGGAGGAAGCCCAGGCTGCTGTGGGATGCTGCCTGGGAGGCAGGGGTGGGAGTCCCCTGTGGTGGCAGCTGCCTGCTCCCCACCCCTGCCCAGCCCTTCCCACCCTTGCACAGCTGTGGCTGGGGCTCAACTCCTAAGCAGACAGTTGGGGAAGCTCAGGCCCTGGGGCCAGGCAGGGCTGGCCTGAGCCCAACCCCACTTATGGCGGTTTGCTGGAGGCAGAGGTTAAGGTCATGGTGACTTGCCTCAAGCAAACCACAACTCTCCTGGTGTAAAATGATAACTGATTTTCAGAGCTATTGTGCAGATTAGGCATCATGTTTACAAAGTGCCCAGCAGAGCACCTGACATACAGTAGGGCTCAGAACCTACAAGTTATGCTTTTCCCCCTCTTTTCCTCATACTTTGACCTGTCAATGCCACTCCTCCTCCCACCCGTAACTCCCTGCCAACTTCCCATAAGTCGCTGGTGGGCAGCTGGGGAGCAAATCAGGCACTGGCAGCCCTACCCCAAGCTCTGGGAGGGAGCACAGCAGTAGCCAGCCGTGACCCTGAAAAATCACCTCACCTTTGAGACTAACTAAATCCATAGCTGTCATTTTGCATTGTGACTCAAAGACCCCAGATTTCCCTAATAAAAGAGGGGATTTCCCCCCATTCAAGGGAGGCGTGGTTACCAGTTCTTCCTGTTGTCTTACCAAAAGCATTACACTTTTATGATTGCAGATACAATCATGAAAGCAATCCCATCCCAAAGGTGTGGGCCACTTAGCATTTTTCAAGGCCCATGTGTATTTGTTATCTTCTTTGAACATCAAGATAACCCAATGACAATGTGAGGTACACGAGAGGTAAGAGAACAGGGAGCCAAGAGAAGGATCAATTCTGCTGGAGGGGCAGTTGTACACAGCAGGCAGTGGAAAGGCTTGATCCGGGAACTCCTTACTTCTGCCCTGTCCACTCCCCTCCTCCGGTTCCCCAAAGCTGCCCGTGTCCCACTCACGTAGATGCCAGCCTGGATGCAGGTTTCCGCCCCGGTGCACTCAATGGTGACATCCGGCTTGCACCCCAGCAGACCTTCCACTTTACTGGCGACCTCCTGAGGGGTCTCCTTGGAGACCTGGAGGACTAAATCAGCCCCAACTTCCTTGGCTTTGGACAATCGAGAAGACGACAGATCTAAAGGTGAAAAGAAGTTTCTTTCAAACCAAGAAACCGGTGACAGATTAGGAAGAAAATAAAATGGGGGTGCAAGGTCTGATGGCAACAAAGCTCTGGTGCACTGAGTGGTGTTGGTGAGTCCAACACACATGTGCTCACGCCCTCACATACTGCCATACATACCACACAGGTGCAACACACACACACACACACATGGTCACAGGTAACGACTCCTCATGAAACACACACTCATACCTTCTACACACTGCACGACACTCCTCACCTCGCACTTCTCACAGACAAGCTCTCTTGACACGTACACTCTCACGTCCCTTTCGTGTCTCCCGCCCCTACCACACCACACCCACCTTCATCCATATCACACACACCACCACCTCCACAGGGGCTGAGCCCGGTCTTAGGACCAGGGGGCAGTATAGGCACCTGAGGACCACCCAAAAAGAACCACAGCCCCTTCGCCATAGCAGCCAGCCCCACCCGTCACAAAAGACCCTCAATCCTGAGCCCTGAGTTGGTTATCCCGGGTGGGCTTTCCAATCCTGGGACCCAAGAGGGAGGAGGAGGAGCCCCTTTAGAAATCCAGTACCTCATGCCCCTGACCCGAACTGTAGGTCCTGCTGTTTCCCCCAGAAAGGAGATTTTAAAAGAAGAAAACCTTCTTACCAGTCACCACTACTTGAGCTGCTCCCATTGCTTTGGCCACAAGCAAACTGACCAGCCCTATTGGCCCTAAAGAAAACAGAACATGGGACATGTTTGTGAAATCTTAATCATCAGCTCTCCCCTTGTCCAGGATGCAGATGGGAACTGTATCTTTTGTATGTCACTAACATCTATCCCAGTGCCTGGCACATGATAAGACCTTAACAAAGAGGCCAGGCATGGTAGCTCACGCCTGTAATCCTAGCACTCTGGGAGGCCGAGGAGGATGGATTGTTTGAGCTCAGGAGTTTGAGACCAGCCTGAGCAAGAGTGGAAACTTGTCTCTATGACGAAAAATAGAAAGAAATTGCCGGACTGGTGGTGCATGCCTGTAGTCCACAGCCACTTGGAGGCTGAGGCAGGAGGACGCGGTTGAGCCCAGAATTTGAGGTTGCTGTGGAGCTAGGCTGATCGCCCAGGCAAACCAGTGAGACTCTGTCTGAACAAAAAAAAATTTTTTAACACCACTGCCTCATTGATGCATCAAACCCAATGAATGCAATGAGGAATTGCTCTCTACAATGAAATATGCCCTACTGGCTGGGTTTATTTTAATCTTCTCAACAGCTCAGAGCTAGCGAAATTTCCTCTCTTACTCTTTGGGCACTGCGTGGAAGATAATCTCAAGAACCGACAGCGATTCAAGGAAACACTACTATTCAGAGAATAAGAAAACTCAGATGGTCTGGCCTCATTTTCCGTTTCTCTTGAACCCACTGTTAGTGAGAACCTGTCATAACTTCCCTACAGGAGAGATCATTCTTCCTGGTGGCCCTCTCAGGATAACCCTGGAGGTGTCCTTTACCCTGAGCAGAGCTCGGCCCTTGGGTTGCCCTGGCTGCTCAGGCAGCTCCGGGCATACCCGGTGTCCAAGAATTACCTCGAGAACAGCTGCCTTCCCCACAGCATCTATGGCCGGTGACACCATATGGTCTTAAACAACAACCAGACCACAAATGAAGCAATGCAGAATATCTTTAGGGATTGTTTTTGTACCACCCCTGGAAAAAATTTTGTATGTTCCCCAAAAACACCACCTGGAAAATCAATACTTCAAAGTCAAAAGGGATGTTAGTTGAAACAAACTACAGTGGAATACCCACACAGTATTCAAAAATATGCCATCAACTCTTTTATCCTACTCGGCATGAAGAAATTTCATAGTATATTGATCTTTTTTAAAAGTAGGTAAGGAACATGAGTTTAGCGATGTCTCATTAAAAAAAAACAAAAAAGGCCGTGGCCGGGGCTCAAGCCTGTAATCCTAGCACTCTGGGAGGCCGAGGCGGGCGGATTGCTCGAGTCAGGAGTTCAAAACCAGCCTGAGCAATGAGCGAGACCCGTCTCTACTATAAATAGAAAAAATAATTGGCCAACTAATATAATAGATATATATAAAATTAGCCGGCATGTGCGCATGCCTGTAGTCCCAGCTACTCGGGAGGCTGAGGCAGAAGGTGCTGAGCCCAGGAGTTTGAGGTTTGCTGTGAGCTAGGCTGACGCCATGGCACTCATCTAGCCCTGTGCAACAAATTGATGACTCATTGTCTCAAAAAAAAAACACAAAAAAAAACAAAACAAAAACTAAAGATTCTATCTTTTTTTGAGACAAGGTTCCGCTCGTGTTTCCTGGCTGATGTCAGTGAGCCAATCCAAGCTCGCTCTGCACTTCAAACTCCTGGGCTCAAGTGATCTCTGCTCAGCCTCCCAAGTAGCTGGACTAAGGCACATGCCCAACACCCAGCTAATTTTTTTAATGCTTTATAGAGATGGGGTCTAACTATGTTGTCCAGGTTGGTCATAAGAGTCTCATGCTCTACCGATTGAGCTAGCCGGGCCCCATTCCAGGTTGGTCTTAAACCCCTGGACTCAAACAATCCTCCTGCCTCCGCCTCCCAAAGTGCTGGGATTACAGGTGTGAGTCATTGCTCCTAGCTCTGAACCAAAATATTAAAATATTAACAGTAGTTTTCTCAGGCTAATGGGTAGTATGTGTCTGTGTAGTTGCAAGTATGCCGCACCTCAACGTGTATGGTATGTATGACCTATTTTCCTTTTCTACGGCAAAAAGGTACTACCTGGGCACATGTTTAAAAGCATCTGTCACCTGAGTCCTGCAGTCCGCTGGCTCATTGAGGCAAGTCTACTCCATATCCATGGCTCAGGAAGCCCTGTGGTCATTTACTTGCCAAAGAAAATGATTCACAAATACATATAGGAACATGGATCACACCCACAGGATGTGTGAGCTACTGTCTGGGTCACAAGCAGTTCCAAGCCTAGCATGATTCGGTCTGGGGCTACCACGGCTCATTCCAGGTGGCTGGAGACAGGCAGAGAAGGCAGCCAGCCACATCCCACTGCAGGCAGAGTGACGGCTCACGGTGGTGTGGACCGCACACCTCCCACTGACCAGGAGCAGGGTCTACCTCATCATGGATGGACTAGGCCATTTACTTCATTGATATGATAGCAAAGCTCAAAGAAGTTGCCATTCCCTTTACTACCAAAAATATTTCCCTAGTTTCTTTACAAGGGTTAACAGCAACAACAAAAAAAATCACAAGATTCATTCTTTAAATAAACAAAAGGGTTATACTGCTTAGGAAATATAATGTTAGTCACTATCATGTCTGTAAATATTCGTGTATTTAGCTAAGTGCTGGTTACTCAGGGAATGGGACATTGTAATCCTCCCATACCCAGAAGGATTCTAGAACGAACCCTAGCCCATGGAGGGGGAATGTGATGGGCAGAGGGGTCCCCATATTCCCAGTCAAAGATCCCATAACCAGGATGTTGTCTGTTTCTTACCAGCTCCGCACACAAGGACCTTGTTCCCCAAGGTGACTCCAGCTCGCCTGCAGGCATGGATCCCCACTGACAGTGGCTCAACCAGGGCCCCCTCCTCAAAGGTGACATTGTCAGGAAGCCTGAGAGTCATTCAACACACACAGTTAGAGCCTCTAAGTTAACCATAATACTGACAATACTATTATATTGTATATGCCCCATGTGACTATTAATATAGCTAACATTTACTGAGCATTTATGTGCAGGGCAATGTGCTAAGCAATTTACATACATTCAATCTTTTAAATCTTAGCAATAGGTCTGTGGTAAGCATTCCCGTTCTACAGATGAGGAAACTAAGGCCTGGAGGGTTAAATTAGCTTGTTGCAAACGTTCAAAGCCAGTGAGGGGCCCAAAGGGGGCAAATTAGAAGCCAGACTCCTCGGATTCCAGAACGGATGCCACACTGCTCCCCCTCTGAATATCGTTTGCCTTGGAGAAATCTCTTCAGTGAATATGGATAACATTATGTTTTCTTGAACGTGCTATCCAAGCTAAGGTTATGGTGGTTGTTATTAATAAATGAAAAGTTCATTTAACAAGGAGTTAACATACCCACATTCCGGTATCTCATCTGCTTCTCAAACTCATAGCCTTTCTGGTTTCCCTCTTGCAACCAATTCCGACTACCAGCAGCTTTATACAACGGCGGTTTAGCAGCAGGCATCACTCTGTCCCCACTGTCCCCATATTACACATTCCAGAAGAACCACGTCTAAAGATAGCAGCTGCCTATCTGTCCCAGGACTGGTTAAGATGGGAAAGGGCCTGTTCCACGTAGCTGGTTAAGTGCTGTGTCACCCTCACCACTGGGTAAAGATGGGTTTTCGCTTCCACTGGCACCTTGGCCCTACCAACAATCCCATCGGTGATGACAGCAAATGTTTGCAGAAGGCTTTACAGATTAGGGAGCATTCTCATCCATTATCTCATTTAATCCTCATGATAACCCTGTTAGGCAAGAAGGGCAGGCTTTATTTTTAACTTATTTTACAGAAGAGGAAACTGCAGCTCAATGACATTAAGAGATCTGCCCAAAGTTACGAGGCTAGGGAGTGGAAAAGCAAGACTTGAACCCACATCTCCTGATTCTACATCCTCTGCCTGTCCCACATGAGCTGCCTCCTGGTGCAGCCAGCACTGTAGCTACCATCCAATTTCTGCTAGTTTCTCACTGCCCAGTGTTTACCCAGTGTCCCCAAACTCCACACACAGGAACATGAAAGCCCTCAAGTTCCAGAGAGCAATAAAGGTGGCAGCCAAGCCATGTGCTCATGCACACAATCCTCTCGTCACTGTTCTCAGTCTTTGATGGAATAACTCACAGGGTCCACCTGTCACTGTCCTCAGCGAAGGCCTGCAGTGGCCTGGCACCCACCACTGCTTCTCCTCCCCTCTGCTTCTCCCCCATCATTTCCCCCTCTGTAATCCACCCTGCACGCACCAATTCTACATAATGCCAAAAGTTGAAAATGAAATAATGAAGATTCCCAAACTCTCTCCAGGACCCACACACACAGGCCCCCACCCACGCCTGCCCCTCCACACCGGGGCCTCCTGTGCAGCCTGTAATGGCTCTAAGCTGAGGGTGGCAGTTGAACTACACCAAGGAGAGTTGGGATTGGGAAAGGGGATGAGAGAGGATTGTTATCCGGAGAGGATTCTACGGATTAAGCAGATACTGCCTCATCCCACCTGCACGAGACACAGCCAACACAGCCAACACAGCCAACTGTGTGGGAAAGCCTCCTGGCATGGAGGCAGGAACGCAGACAAGGAGTCCTGGGGCCTGGTCCCTCTGCCACTGACCTTCACAGAGTCATGCCACCGGGTCCTCCCTCCCCAACCTTGTCCAGTAGGGGTGACAGGGATGAGAAGACTCTAAGTTCCCTCGCAGCCCCAATCTTCCATGACTTTATAAACACCAGAGAATGACAGAGCAACTTGGTGGTTTTTACAATAGGGTTCAGGAAACAGGTAAAATGGAGTAAAGGATGCTTGAAAGGCCAAGCGGGAAGCAGGAAGGTAGAAAGAAAATAGGTGGGGCTGGACACAGTGGCTCACGCCTTGTAATCCAGTGCTCTGGGAGGCAGAGCAGAGCCAGGGGGATGGCTTGAGGCCAGGAGTTCAAGGTTACAGTGAGCTATGATGATGCCACTGCACTCCAGCCGGGGTGACAGAGTGAGACCCTGCCTCTTAAAAAAAAGAGAGAAAGAAAATAGGACAGGTAGGTAGGAAAATAAAGAGGCTGTGAAAGTATAGGAATCCTTATAGAGAGAAATCAGAGAGGAGGGATTAGGTCCAGGGCTGGCCTGGGGACATAGGCAGAAAGTACCCTAGGAGGAGAGGAGGCACAGCTGCACGGCCCCCAGAGACCCTTCCTGGCCATCCTCAGCCCTCCCACTGCCATTGCCAACCAGAACATTCCCTCCAGTCCCACCCCCACCACTGTTCCCTACTAACTGTCGGCACAGGCTCCCTTTCAGGCCTAATCCTGTACCTCCACCCCACAGACCACGGCTATGACACAGCTTGGTACCATTTATTGAGCACCTACTGTGTGCCAGATGTCATGCTGACTATTTGGTATGCCTTCCTCACTGAAACTCATCAATAATTCTGTGAGGGAGGTGCTGTTAATATTTCCATTTCACAGGCAAGGATATTGAGGTTACAAAATTTAACCCTTTGAACTCGGATGTCGAGTGTGACTCCACACGGTTAGGTAGAATAAAGGAATCAAGAAAAAAGCAAGTGAGTGCAAAGGGTTAAGTAACTTGCACGAGGTCACACAGTTGTAAATGGCAGAGACCAGCGGTTAGTCTTGGGCTTCACCACAATGCTCTTGTGCCTGCCATGAAAATGTTGGTTGGTGCCTTAACTTGGAAATGGCCCAGAAAAAGATGGGCTGATTCAGAAACCACTTGCTGAAAGGTGGGTTCTGCCCACATAACCTGATCTCTTCTAGAACAGGTTCACAATGTTGACTTAAATGTATCACAAGGGCTCTGGCCTGTGACTCCTCTCAAGGCTTCCAGTGGGCACTAGAAAAACTCAGATCTGTGAGGCTGCTCCTATGACTGGCACCTGGCCTCCATCAGACAAGCCACATCCTGGCTGACAGCCATCACCAGGCCAGGCTGGGGTGGGAGGAAAGCACACCAGGGTGTGGTCAGAGGGAACACAGCACGTCCGCACCCCAGAGCACCATGGCTGGGCCAACACAGAAGGTGTAGCTCTTTGCTCCTTCCAGACACAACTTCTCCCCAAAACCTTTCAGGGTGGACAGTTGGGTAGGGTAGGGTAGTGGGCACAGGGCAGGAGCTTGAGAATCACAGAGAACCCAGTTTGACTCCTGGTTCTGCTCCGTGCTTGAGTCAATTAGCCTTTTTCTGCCTCAGTTAACCCTTTCATAAAGAATGGTGCCCACCTCCCCACTATTTGTGTGAAGGTTAAATAAGATAAGACATGCAAAGCAGTTATTAGCATAAGGGCAGGCACGTAATAATAATCACCATGACTTTATCTGCATTGCTGTATTTAATATTGTGGTGGTTAAATGAAATGGAAGCAGAGGAAGGTTAGATCAGATTCCCAAAGTCATTCATTAGGAGGGATTGGATCCAGGGTCCCAGAGCTCATGCCCTGGTACCATACAGTGATTCCTCAGTAATCGGTAGCCGTTGGTGTCATTGGGTGTGGGTTTTTTTTATTTTTATTTTTTTTTTGAGACAGTCTCATTTTGATGCCCAGGCTAGAGTGAGTGCCATGGTGTCAGCCTAGCTCACAGCAACCTCAGAGTCCTGGGCTTAAGCAATTCTGCTGCCTCAGCCTCCCAAGTAGCTGGGACTACAGGCATGCGCCACCATGCCCAGTTAATTTTTTCTATGTATTTTAGTTGGCCAATTAATTTCTTTCTATTTATAGTAGAGACGGGTCTCGCTCTTGCTCAGGCTGGTTTTGAACTCCTGAACTTCGAGCAATCCGCCTTCCTCAGTCTCCCAGAGTGCTAGGATTACAGGCGGGAGCCACCGTGCCGGGCCCATTGGGTGTTACTACTGTTGAGGACACTATTGTTATAGATCCCCTCTCTGGTGGCTGCAATGAACACCAATAATGGAGGATTAACCATGGTGATGTCTCTCTCCAGGATGGCTGGACAGAGTGAGTGATTTCAGCAGCAACTTTCTATGGTTGCTGTAGGTGAGGTAAAGTGAGACTGAAAGACCAAAATCAACCCCTGTGAGTCACTCTTATCCTACTGAGGCTACCCTCCATCGATGCCACCAAGAAGGACAGCCGGCCAGGGGGATGCCTTGAGTTTAGAATGACCAGCTAAAAAGACTCATGAAATCACCATGGGAAATTAGAAGAAAGTTCCCCAACCAAACAGAGGGACAGAGGTCCCAGGTGGCACAGCCATGGGTACTAACTTGTAGCAAAAGTCTGCATTGTGCTTGTAGAACCTGCAGAGGTTCCCATCATCAGGGGGTGTAGCAGAGAAGAAGATGGTGGGTGACAGATTGTACCGGCCAATCTTGCAGAATTCATCGGTTTCTCGGGTAGCCCCAGGTTCAATGGCAACTCGATCACCTGGAGCAGAAAACAAAGTGCTATGTCTGAGGAAGGGAGCAGAGTCTGCCCACTCCTTGGCCTGATGATCCTGGTTCTTTGTTTTCCAGCCTTTGAAAACAAGAGCAGAGGCAAAGATGTTGTGAAGGCATGCAAACTCACGGGCACCTGCCAGCTGGGAGAATCTAGCAGCTAGATTCTAGCCCAACAAGCCACCCTCCTTCTTGGGGACTCAGGATGTCCCAGGCAAGCAAGGAAGCAAAAGAAGCAGCATAGACTCACACTCTGGGAGAAAAGGACCAGCCCACTTCTCCACAGCCACGTTTGGACTGCCCTTTTGCCAACTGAGTGACAAGCCAGCCCACCCCTCCAGCTCCAGTCATTTCCCAGCTTACGAAACACAGAACCAGTCCCCTCTTGAAGACAAGCCAGCTCCACTTCCTATCTCACACTGCTGCAAAAGAGGGAGTTCGTGCACAGAGTTTGCAGACATTTTTCCTTCACCTGTTTTAAAAATATGGGGCAAGGCCCTTACAAAAACAAGAGCTATGGCTGGGTGTAGTGGCTCATGCCTGTAATCCTGGCACTCTGGGAGGCCGAGGCAAGAGGATCTCTTGAGCTCAGGAGTTCAAGACTAGCCTGAGCAAGAGGTAGAACCTATATCTAAAAATAGAAAAATTAGCTGGGCTTCTCGGCCTGCTGCAGTACCAGCTCCTTTGGAAGCTGAGGCAGGACGATTAGTTGATCCCAAGAGTTTGAGGTTGCAGTAAGCTACGATGATGCCACCTCTACCTAGGGAAACACAGTGGGACTCTGTCTCAAAAAAAAAAAAAAAAAAAGGAAATAAGCATTTAAAAATTTATAACTTAAAAAAAACCTAGGAGTTGTGATTATTTCTTAATGTTCAGTCTGCTTGTGTTTAGACAATAACTAGGAGTCAGCCAATTTCTGGTTAGCAGAACCATGAAGGCCAGTGACCTGAGGAGGCCGCTGGGGCCCATGCACAGCTACTCCGTTGTAGTTCTACGCTGGGCCTCACCACTTCTGCTTGGAAACCCAGCCTTACTTAGAATAACTCTGTTTCTTTTCCTACCTTTTATTATGAATATTTAAAAGCACTCGACAAAGTTCAAAGAATTATACAGTGAACACCAGACACCCTCCACCTAAATTCTTCAAGGACCATTTAGCGATGTTTGTTTCATCACATATCCACCCATCTACCCCTCCACCCTATCTCTGCTTCCATCAGTCCAACTTCTTTTCTGATGCATTTCAAAGGAGGCTGTGGACATCAGTATACTTCACCCTTAAATACTTCATTCTGCATACGCATTAACTAGAGTTCAACATTTATGTATGGTTCTTCCTCAAGGTAAAAATAAAATGCTCACATTCTAAAGTGAGCTGTTAGGTAAATTTTAATAAATGCATTCACCTTTCTAATATAAACCCCCATCAAAACACAGAACATTACCACTATCTCAGCAATCTCATTCCTTTGTGTCCCTTCTCAGTCAATTCCCACCCCACCCCAAGAGGGTGGGAATGTTTTGATCTTTTTCACCACAGATTAGTATTACCTGTTCTAGCACATCACAAAAATAGGTTCATAAGGTATGTACTCTTATGAATTTGGCTTCTTTTAGCATAATGCTTTCCAGATTGATCTATGTTAACTGTGGTATCAACAGTTTGTTCCTTTAAAGTGTGGAAGAATAGTGTCCACTATAGGAGCATACCACATTCAGTTTAGCCATTCTCCTGCTGAAGGACACCTGGTTGCTCCCAGTATTCTAGCTGTTTTTGTGAATGCCTCGCCTGCCTCCTCATCCAGGATGGGAGTTCCTCAGGACTTGTCCATCTTTTGCTCCGTATTTATTCCTCCATAGTGCCTAGCATTGAGCTAGACACATTTTTATTGCTCAACATAAAATTTGTGAGTTGGGGGAAAGAAAACCATGGGACACACAAACGTCATTAATATCTAGAAGGGCATTACTTATTGGCAAAAATTTCCCCTGGAAAGTGGCAAGTAAAAGCTGTTGGTTAAAGAGAAAGTAGCATTTTTCTTTTGTAAAAGAAAGGGAGAAAGATATGAACAATTTAAGGCAAACAGCTGAGATTTGGGGATGGTTCAGATGGTTCATCTTCATGCTGGTACCCAGCCCAGCATGGGAGAGCTCCACTTATACTGTCAGTACAGTGGACGGCCTCCATGTTTGCAGAAAATAGAAAACAGACTTATATGAGGGTTTTAATATCACAGGTATTGTTGCTACACATCAAAGAAAGTCACAACTAGATTTAAACTCCATCTGACAGTGACCCATACCAACTAATCAGAGACCAGCCTAGAAACCCTGGCAGACCCTCCTGCCTGAGCCAAGCTCCAACTCCACAGTGAGGAGCAGAAATCTCCCCTTCTAGTGTCCAGGAACTAAGCTGGAGACCAACAGGGCTGGACGCGAGCAAGGCAGGAGGCCTTGTGGCAAAAACCCAGGGGAGGACCTCCAGGCCTTATCCTGCCACAGTGCCTGGCTGCTAAGGAACGGCCTGACTGACAGACTCCCTAGGGAACAAAGACTTTAACCCACTACACAGCATAGACTGTACTAATGGTGGCAGGATCAAGACTTGCCATTTATCAAGTGCCCACAGCGGACCAGGCACTAGGCAAAGCACATCACAAAAATCTCCCTTCTTCGTCACCACAAACCAGTGTGGTACTGTTATCTTGGCTTTAGAGATGGGAAACAGAAAGCTCATGGTGTCAACAGTCATAAGCTGGGAGAATTTGTTGTGCATTTCCCTCCGTACCTAGTGTTAGGGCCTGGCTGGGGAGGTTAGCAGCCGGGTAAGGCCTGGTGAGGCCATGGAGAGCCTGGCCTGTAATCAGCAGAGACATTTAAGTTATTTTAGTCTCTTTTGTATGAAGTACTCACAGACCTAGCTGCAGAGTCTGGCAGGCACGACAGTGCTCATTAAAACGTAGTGGTGGTAGGTGTATAGATAGTAAGTAGCTATACAATTATAATAACTCTTTTTATTATATTTATCATTATTATAATTATCTGAACTCATTATTATACAGGAAATTCAAACTATAAGATAGATAGACTGTATATCAACGAGGAAATTTCTGTGCCTCAGATTTATTGATTTACATGTTTCAATTATGTAAATGAACATTTAGAAATACTCAATGAGTTTTCTTCTTCCTACCTTAATTGATTAGAATTTTTTTTTTTTTTGAGACAGAGTCTCACTTTGTTGCCTGGGCTAGAGTACCATGGCGTAGCCTATTCACAGCAACCTCAAACTCCTAGGCTCAAGCACTCCTTCCGTCTCAGCCTCCCAAGTAACTGGGGCTACAGGCATGTGCCACCATGCTCGGCTAATGTTGTTCTATATGTTTTAGTTGCCAATTAATTTCTTTCTATTTTATGGACACAGGTCTCGCTCTGGTCAGGTGGTTTCAAACTCCTGACCTTGAGCGGAGCCTCGCTGCCTCGCCTCCCAGAGTGCTAGGATTACAGGCATGAGCCACTGCTTCCTGCAGTTGATTAGAACTTTAAGTCAAAGTTAACATATGACACACTTTAAACAATTTTGTATTCTAAGAAAAAGTACCCATAGAAATCCCTGTGACCACTAAAATCGGTCCATAGATGTCTCTTCTTTCTGTCTCCTCTGACTCCCTCTACTTTCTCTGCTGCCCAATGAACTTTCTGAAAATTCTACCTATACCAGGGATGAAGAACCTGTGACCTTAAGGCCACATGTGGCCTTCTAGGTCCTTAAGTGCAGCTTTTTGCCTGGATCCAAATTTTACAGAACAAATCCTTTTATTTTTATTAATAAAAAAAATAAATATAAGACCTGAAACTATAAAAATACTAAAAGGAAACATAGGGAGAAAGCTGCATGGCAATGGTCTGGGAAGAGATTTCCTGGATGTGACCTCAAAAGACAGGCAACAAAAGCAAAAATAGACAAATGAGATTGCATCAAACTGAAAAGTTTCTGTACAACATAGGAAATAATAGAGCGAAAAGATAACATAAGGATTATGAGAAAACATTTGAAATTCATACACTAGATAAAATGCATCTTGTATAAGCTGGTTTCCCAGCTACCTAATAAAAATCAAACACTGCATCCAAGGCCCCCATGATGGATCCCAGCATGTGAAGGCAGTTTATGGTTCTGTGCCTGGAATGTTTTCTCCACCCCTTTACCTGGCTTATTTCTTACTTGCCTTCAGAAGTTGGATTAATCATCCCTTCCTCAAATGAGCCAGGGGGTCTGGGTAAAACACACCAATAACACCCTGTATTTTCCTTCACTGCCCTTAACACACTGTGGCTAAGTAACTGCATGTCTGTCCCAGGTCTGTCATCCCCTGTGGAAGGTCAGACCATGACTGTCTTGTTCACTGCTGGACCCCAGAGCTTCACAGAGGTCCTGGCCTGGAGAAAGCATGCACCAATACTTATGTTGTTGAATGAATACAAAAATCAGCTAGCTGAAGGACTGTGCTGACCTGGTTTGAGGTGCTTCACCAATGATCCCACTTTTGCGACAGTTCCCGAAGCTTCATGCCCTAGCACCATGGGTTTTTCCACAACAAAATTCCCAATTCGTCCATGCTGCCAGTAGTGGACATCTGAGCCGCAGATTCCAACAGAATGCATCTTCAGTAGTACCTCTGATAACAGAAAAGAGGAGAAAACCAGTGAGGGAGGGAGCAACCCTTATATCACTCTGAGGTACCCGTGCTTTCCTTCTGGACAGGGGAGAGGGCTGGGTTATGAAGGCCAGGTACAAAATTTATACCGTAGAGGAAAACAAGCTGTAGAGCCACCCCGATTAAGTCTCACAAGGGGCAGGGAATGGTGGTGACTCACAGTGCCTGTAATCGCAGCACTTTGGGAGGCCAAGGTGGGAGGATCATTTAAGCCCAGGAGTTTGAGACCAGCCTGGGCTACATATTGAGACTCTTTCTCTACAAAAAACTAAAAAATAAGAATTAGCCAGGTGTGGTGGCACACATCTGCAGTCCCAACTACTTGGGAGCCTGAGGTAAGAGGATTTCCTGAGCCCAGGAGTTCAAGGATGCAGTGGGCTATGATCACACCACTGCACTCCAGCCTGGGCAACAGAACAAGACCCTGTCGGGCAAAAAAAGCTTCCACATAGCAAATGAACTTCATGTGATCATTAATTTTATGTGTCAACTTGGCTAGGGTATAGTGCCCCGCTGTTTAGTCTGACACCAGTGTAGGTATTTTTGTGAAGGTATTTTTTAGGTGTGATTCACATTTAAACCAGTAGACACTGAGTAAAGCCAGATTACTCTCCATAAGATGAGTGGGCCTCAACCAATCAGTTTGAAGGCCTTAAAAACAAAAACTGAGGTGTCCTGAAGGAAAACGAATTCTCCTCAAGACTGCAACATCCACTCTTACCGGAATCCTGCTGGCCTGCCCTACAAACTTCACACTTGCCAGCCTCCCACCCCTACGATCACATGAGCAAATTCCTTAAAATAAATCAATCTCTCTCTCTCCATACACCCCCTACTGATTCTGTTTCTCTGGAAAACCCTGATCAATACACTGGGTAAACAAGATATGATTAGTAGGATCAAATGTACTAAACAATTAAGAGAACAAACTGTTTTCCAGGAGATAAATGTTTCCAGACAATTAATATGCTTTGCCAGATAAGAGAAAGAACTGTTTTCCAGGAGATAGATGTTTCCGGACAATTAATATGCTCTGCCTGATTCTTCCCTGTTCGTGAGAATGAGTCTGGCAGAATCTCAGCTTGACAACACTATGTGAACTATCAGGCTGGGTTCTTCATGCCTGTTTTTTCTAAAAAGGTACAGCTTTATTTAAACCACCCAAAGATTTCAACTGGTATCTTCCCTTCAAGGGTTTAAAAAAAGTGAGATTTGGTGGTACTGTTGTCAGTTTTTCAAGTTTGAATTAATGCTACTGAGCCTCTTTGCCAAAAGTATTACGGGCCTAGTCTGACTGAGATGACTATGTTACAAATCTCTCCATGAGAAAACACCCTGTCTCAGAAAGACAAAGAGACCCAGAAGCTCTGCTACGCATTCAGATGTCTTACATGCTCCCTTGCCACTGACCACCAGCAAACCACCAAGTGTGGCTCTGTAGAACTTCCTTCCTCTGTGGTTTTGGTGACTGCAGTAAGAAATGGCAGGGTGAATTTTGAGATCAAAGGTAGAGAAGGTCATTTGAATTAGGAAAACTGTCTCATAGTTTCCTCTCTTGAAGTGACCAATTTAGTAAGAGATAAGATTTGACTTGCTGGAACACTCATGGAAATGTACTCTTTTCCCACCTTCCAATTCAAGTATAGCAAGAGACAAGAAAGCAGAATGCTGCTTCAGAGAGAGAAGCTGTACCAGGATCCTTTGGGTCCAAGATAGCCTTTGTTTGGCCACTTCTGGAATCAACAAACAACTTTTCAGGACACGGTGAGCCTCTTTGAACGTGATCATAATTATCTCGGTGCAAGTGGGTAAACCCTGAACATACATTACTTGCTAAGCACTGATAGAACAGCTATATTCTATCTAGTCTATATTCTTATCACTTACAAGTCAATAATCCAACTGAACTTTTTTTTTTTTTTGTTTTGAGACAGAGGCTCACTTTGTTGCCCAGGCTAGAGTGAGTGCCATGGCATCAGCCTCGCTCACAGCATCTCAAACTCCTGGGCTCAAGCGATCCTCCTGCCTCAGCCTCCCAAGTAGCTGGGACTACAGGCACGTGCCACCATGCCCGGCTAATTTTTTCTCTATATATTAGTTGGCCAATTAATTTCTTTCTATTTATAGTAGAGACGGGATCTCACTCTAGCTCAGGCTGGTTTCAAACTCCTGACCTCGGGCAATCCGCCCGCCTTGGCCTCCCGGAGTGCTAGGATTACAGGCGTGAGCCACCGCGCCCAGCCCCAACTGAACTTTTGAGTAGCAAAGCTCTGAAGCCACCAGGAAAGCTGCCTTCATGTGATGTTCACACAGAAGCTACAGTTTTGGGGTGAGATATGACAGAGTGGAAAAGGACATCCCCAACTTCTCAAAGTCAGAAAGGGGCTAGGTGCTGGGTGGGGAAGATGAACTCTGCCCAGTGCCGCCAGCCTCACTCCAGAGTCATGTGGATTATAAAGAAAGGGGATCCCAGGGATACAAGGGATTAAAAAACTGTCAGCAGGGATCTGCCCTAGCCAACAGGGCAGTATGTCCTCCCCGGGAACACACGCCACCCCAGGCGTCAGCATGTCAGCTGAATCTGGCGGGCACACCCAGTAAGAGTCCTGGAAGGAGTGGAGCAAAGGTGTAAGGAACCCTGCCCCAGTCTGCTCACTCACCTTTCGTGCTGGGTTGATTATGGTAGGAGGCAGGGCTCCATGCAGCACCCCACCTCTACTGGACAGAGGTCTTGGGTTGCCCCACTCTTCGGTCTCAGGCCTTCCTAGGGAGTGGGGAGAGGCTGGCACTATGCTCCCTTTGCTAATTAAACGATCATGTTCTGTAGACTCACTCCTTTTCAAAATTTGGATTAGAATTAAAACATATTTGGCAGCGTTGTGATGTGAGGCGAGGCGACGCCAGGGCACTCACTCTAGCCTTGGCGCAACAAAGCAAGACTCTTTCTCAAAAAAAAGAAAAAAAAAAAAAAAAGGCATATTGAAACTCCATAGTGCTTACTAGTGTTCGATCGGGTCCGAAGAAGAATATTCTGCTTTTGGTCCATGACACTTTACATCAAAAATTCTTTGGGGACAAGTCAGCATTCTGTTCAGTATTTTTCTGGTTCTGTCACTACTCTTTTGATTTCACGTGGCACCAAATAACTACCCACCGCAGTCATGCTGGCTGCCAATGGACTAGGACTAGGTTTCTCAGGCCTAAAAGACCACATGTCGTTTAAGGGAGGAAAATGTAAGAAAACAGTAGGAAGGACAATACACACATGTCCCAGGGGAAACAATGGAAAAATAAAATATAAATCAGTTTCTAAGAACCCTACCATTTGGGCCTGGTTCAGGATGGGATGAGTTCTCCTAAAAGAAACAAAATAGAAAAAGTCGTTAGAATGCATAATAACTTATGCCTTAATAACGATTTTCATTTTTAAACAATCAAATGGGTTTCATTTAAATATTTCTTCTAGATTAGCAC